GAGATTGGCCAGGTTGCTTCGGCTATTTCAGAAGCGGACATGAGCAGACTTTGGCACTATAGGTTGGGGCACACAGGTGAAAAGTCACTGCAGGCATTGTGCAAGCAGGGGCTATTGAAGGGAGCCAAGAGTGGGAAGATTGAGTTCTGTGAGCACTGTGTTCTTGGCAAGAAGACGAAGGTAAAGTTCGGGACTGCTATTCATCAGACGAGAGGCATCCTGGACTACGTGCACACAGATGTTTGGGGTCCTACCAAGACTGCATCACTTGGTGATCGATATTGGTTCGTCATTTTTGTAGATGACTATTCTAGGCGATGTTGGGTGTACACCATGACGAAAAAAAGTGAAGTCCTAGATTTTTTTGTGGAGTGGAAAAAGAGATTGGAACTGCAGACTGAGAGAAAGATCAAGACGTTGCGATCCGACAACTTGGAACTGCAGACTGAGAGAAAGATCAAGACGTTGCGATCCGACAACGGTGGTGAGTATACTTCTGACCCCTTTCAGCAGCTATGTCGAGACGAGGGCATAGAGAGACATTTCACAGTTAGTCATACACTGCAGCAAAATGGGGTGGCAGAGAGATTGAATCGGGTTATTGTCGCAGAGTGGTTTGGAGAAGATCTTTTGGGCTGAGGCACTTACATATGCGAGCCACCTCATTAATAGGCTGCCTTCATCTGCGATTGAGGGGAAAACCCCTATGGAGATGTGGTCGGGAAAGCCAGCACATGATTATGACCAGCTCAAGGTATTTGGGTGCCCTGCATATTATCATGTTAGAACTGATAAATTGGAACCTCGAGCTAAGAAGGCCATATTTGTAGGATTCAAGCGTGGTGTCAAGGGATACAAACTTTGGGATCCAGTGGATAAGAAGATTGTGTTGAGTAGGTACGTCACATTCGATGAGGCTTCTATCTTGAAGCTTCCCAGCTCTCATCAGGTGGAGAGCGACCCGATGGAGGAGATATCGCAGGTGGTGGAGATCGATGCAGCTCCACATTGTCCAGATGGTACAGTATCCATGCAGGTGCCGACTGAGGTGATGCCAGGCGAGCACGGCGGTGACATGGAGGATACGAGTACAAATGTGCAGGATCAGGAACCGACGGCTCAGGTTCAAGATTCTATTGCGATTCGGAGACAGAGGAGAAACATACAGATGCCAGCACGGTATGCCGACACAGTTGCGTATGCACTTCCGGTGGAGAGTATCGATGAGTTGCTGCCTACTACATTCAGAGAGGCCGAACAGAGTTCGAAGACTGATTCGTGGCAGGTGGCTATGCAGGAGGAGATGGGATCTCTTCATAAGAATGATACATGGGAGCTTGTTGAGCTTCCAAAGGGACGGAAGGCAATTGGTTGCAAGTGGGTATACATGAAGAAGGAGGGCATTGAGGGCACTCCATTGAGGTTCAAAGCTAGGTTGGTTGCGAAGGGCTATGCACAGGAGGAAGGTATTGACTATAATGAGGTTTTCTCTCCAGTGGTGAAGCACTCTTCGATTCGGATTTTGCTAGCTTTGGTGGCACAGTATAGATTAGAGTTAGATCAGTTGGATGTGAAGACGGCATTTCTTCATGGTGATCTTGATGAAGAAATATATATGACTCAGCCATTGGGATTCCGAGCTGCAGGGAAGGAAAAATTAGTTTGCAGGTTGAAGAAATCGCTATACGGTTTGAAGCAGTCTCCTCGACAGTGGTATAGGCGATTTGATAGTTTTATGATTGGTCATTCGTACACTCGGAGCCAGTTTGATCCTTGCGTATATTTTCGTAAGTTGAAAGGAGGTGCGTATATTTATTTGTTGCTCTATGTCGACGACATGTTGGTTGCCTCTATTTCCAGGTCAGCTATAGATGAATTGAAAGTTCAGCTTTCAAAAGAGTTTGAGATGAAGGATTTGGGTGAGGCGAAGCGCATTCTAGGGATGGAGATCGGCAGAGATAAGAAGAAGGGCAGAATTTGTTTGGCATTCTAGGGATGGAGATCGGCAGAGATAAGAAGAAGGGCAGAATTTGTTTGACACAAGTGGCTTATTTGAAGAAGGTTCTACAGCGATTCCATGTTAGCATGAATACGAAGCCAGTTAGTGTACCTTTGGGAGCCCATTTGAAGCTTTCAGCTGGTCTTTCACCAAAGTCAGTTGAAGATAGAGAGTTGATGTTGAAGACTCCATATGCGAGTGCGGTTGGGAGCTTGATGTACGCGATGGTATGTACGAGGCCAGATTTGTCACAGACGGTAAGCATGATATCAAGATACATGCACGATCCAGGAGTGGGTCATTGGGACGCCGTGAAATGGATTTTGAGGTACATTCGAGGTACGCTCAATGTTGGTTTGGTTTATGAGCGGGACACTAAAGGTGGGCAATTATGCATTGGTTATGTTGATTCGGATTATGTCGGGGATTTGGATAAGCGTCGGTCTACTACGGGGTATGTGTTTACTTTGACCCGTACGCCGGTGTGTTGGAGATGCACCTTACAGTCTATGGTGGCTTTGTCTACGACGGCGGCAGAGGATGGCAGAGTATATGGCAGTTACGGAGGCTGTGAAGGAGGCTATTTGGCTTCGAGTACTTTTGGAGGAACTTGGTATATCGCAGAGATCCGTCACTATTCATTGTGATAGCATGAGTGCTATCTATTTGGCGAAGAATCAGGTTTTTCATGCGAGGACGAAGCACATTGATGTTCGTTATCACTTCGTTCGAGATGTTCTTGAAGATGGCGATGTGGAGATTGTGAAAGTCCACACGAATGATAATCTGGCAGATATGCTCACTAAGGTGGTTCTGAGCAACAAGTTTGATCATTGTCGAAACTTGTTACATATTCGTGATTGTTGAGGCTGTTGGCGGCCATTTGAGTGAACTACGGGCGACTTGATTCCTTGGGCAAGAGGATACGTAGGCAGTCTTTCAGATGCAGCCGGTTTGGATTTGTTGATGGGGTGAGATTGTTTAGAATCTCGTTCGGGTTCTCAACTTGTTGTGGATTAAGTTTTTACTAGCCATAACAAGTGGGACATTTGGATGCTATGGTGTTGGCTCAGTTTTTTAGAAGAAACTTCACCGATGTGGAGAATTGTGAACGGACCTGATAGGCCCAGGCCCACGAATTGATTTTGAGCCGCGTTTTTCAACATAGACACGCGTTTTCTCCTGCTGCTGCCTATATAAATGATATTTTATTAGGTTTTAGGTAAGCAAGGAGTCCTTTTTGATTGGCGGCTGCAAGGGCTTGGTGCAGAGGGTTTTTGTCGTGTGTTGCGGCTACAGAGAAGGTGCAAAAGAAAAGAATAGAAGAGGCTTTTCTTTTATGGTTTTTTTTTGGTGCATCCTTTTTTGTAGAGAGAGTTTGTGAGGGATTTGAGAGAGTTTGTTTGAGGGTTTAGATTGTGAGTGATTGTAAACCCTAGTTGTATTCTCTCCCTCTATTAGTGGATCTCTCCCCCTCCTTGCCCCGTGGACGTAGGTAATTTACCGAACCACGTAAAAATTGATTGTACTGCTATTTGTGTGATTTGTAATAACTTTTAGGTTCCCTCGATGCGCAGTCCTAGAGCTGACGAGAGGAAGAGCTAATATCCCACTTTGATGAGATATTAGGCTTCAGATTCTTGTTCCCTTTGAGAAACAAGAATTCTTATTGCGACCTGACTCTCTTGTTGTGCTGCCGAAGTGCTGCCGAAATTTCGCTGCGCGCAACATAATATAGTGACAACTCATCTCATCTCATCTCCTATTCTTTGATTTCCTTATTTTTTTTTGGGCAAACAAACAGCCCCTTGATGATGTAATACTTTTGTATAAACTGCTAAAGTATTCACACTCCTTTTTCAGAGCAAGAATCTTCCACACTGCGTTGCTTTTCCAAATTGATTCAATTTCCTCCACTATCACATATTTAAAACAATTTTGGGGTTGGGGTTGGGGTTGGGGTTGGGGGGTTAATATTCTGCAGTAACACCTTCAAAGATATAAAGAAATACAGAAGAATATAATATATAAAAGTGAGGCGGAATCCAAATTAAGTTCTGTACAAGGAAGCTTGATAATCACATAGAATGTATTTTGGACACTCATGAATAATTCATGATAATAAAGGGGTAAATTTAAAAAATAATAGGTACAAAATTTCCCTTAACTTTGAGAGATTTTTCACATAGCCTTTAAGTTCGGCCTTCTTGAGATTGCCTCCCTTCAACTGACTATTTTAAAAAGTACAAAATTTTCCCATTAAATTCGGTCTTTTTTGCGATAACCTCCCTTACTACCTATTTTAATAGGTACAAAAGTTCCCTTAACTTTGAGAGTTTTCACATAGCCTCCTTGTACTTGCTCTATTCCACTAAATACATTCACCTCCAAAATTAACACTCTCAAATTCAGCTAGTTAAAATATCACAAAAACCTAAAAAATAATGGAAATAATGGAAAAGAATAAAAGGGTGATTTTTGAGTGTCGAGTGATACTTTTTTTTTGTGAGTCCCGGCACGTAGCACGTTAGACTTCATAGTGTCACTATGAAGAATTAAGATGAAAAATCCTCAAAGAATTTAGTGGAATAGAAAACATTCAGAGTGTTTAACGAAGTAAACCCTCAAAATTAAGAGGAGTTTTGTACTTTCTACAATAATTAAGGGGGTTATATCTAAACAGCGAAACTTAAGAATGTTTTGTGAATTTTACAAAAGGTTTACCTTCAATAAAATGTTTACCTTTTTGACACAAATATTTTAAAAGAACATGAACCCCATGGAACACTGCACATGCAAGCGGAGCGTCCTCAACCATACAGTAGGCAGTTGAAAATGTTAAAATTGTGCTCATGCTCCTCTCATGAAGAGTTGAGAACACCTCGCTGGCCTGTTGAGTGACTTGTACTTCAGTTCAGAGAATGAGAAAGGTCTAAAACATTTGTTGAGATGATATAGATTGGTGTAAATTTGGTGATACTAATAAATTATTGAGATTAAATGAACTCCAAACCTTTCTTTTTTACCTTATAAAGTTGCTTTTAGAAAGAGACAGTAATCCTTCCCTTAATTACAAAGATAATCTTATGCAACACCCCCTAAAACTTTATTTATATGGAGACATTAATTGTTCCCCATTTCAATTAAAAAACACACAATTTCTTTTGAATTGAATACTTGCCCTATTCCTTTTAGAGCGTGAATCGTAAACAATTCTGAAATTTTCGTTTCCTAAAAACAAACGCGCTTTCTGTTTTTTTTTTTCTACATCTACCTACTTAATAAACCTTCGACCTTGTGATCGAGTACCCAGTCGTCACTTCCTGAGTTGTGTGAGGGCAAATTCGTCATATTGCCCCCCCAAGTTTAGCGCTTTGTCTCCGCTTTCAAAGATAGCGAGTGACTCAAACCCCCGATTTCGAGGCCGTGATCACCAATCGGAACCCTTCGGATCCCGTACACGTCAGCGAAGCTAAGATCCCTACAAACGTCAACACCAAACACCACTCTCGCTTGCCCGCCGGCCCCGCCACGTGTACCTTCTCGAAAGCAATGAGCTGCTTCTGCGGGGCCAGGTGTCCTTCCGGTGGGCTCGAGTACACCATCACCGTGTGGGCCCCGTCCATATCTCCCTCGTTCCTGACGTCCACGTGTACCAGTACGGACAAGCTGTCGCATGCCAAGTGGCTGACCCGCACCGCCCGGTTCGGTCCGGTCGAGTTTAAGACGGCAGCAGCCCGACGGCCATCGAGCTGAACGGTAAGTTGGGCCGGAGCTTGGGCTATCGCCTGAGAGAACTTGGTGTAGCTCAGACCGTGACCGTACGGGTAAACTACCGGGCCTTTGTAAAAACGGTAGGTCCGACCCGGATAGTTACGGCCCGCTACGGCCCGCGTCGGCCCGCATGCTCATGTCAGTCATGGCCACCTTCTGAATGAATTCCTCTGGGTACCATGTCACTGGGAGCTTTCCTCCTGCAGGTAATCCAAATTTACATAAACGAGCTCGGACCAACAACTAAAACGAATTAAACATTTTGTTGGGTGCTGGAATTTGTAAGCGTCACCTGGATTGTGGGCACCGAAGAGAACGTCCGCAATAGCCAGCCCACCAGCTTGGCCCGGGTATCCGGCCCAAGGATGGCCCCAATTCTCGGTTATTATTTCGCAAAAGAGATGTCAATGGCCCGGCCGGAGACCAGTACCAAGATGGTTGGGCTCTGGAGGCCGCCGCGACCTTGGTCACCAACTCTTGCTGTCGGCCCGGTAGGAGGAGGGTGGCTCGATCCACCATCTCGGCCTCAATCGACTGGTCGCAGCCCGACCACAGAAACCGTCGCATCTGACTGGCGAGCTGGCAGTCACCGGCAGCGTCGATGGGTTCGACTGCCGCCACAAAGACGTCAGTGCATCCGGCTTGGTGGTTGGTCCGCACGTATTTTCCAATGCCCTCAAGCGGGCTCGTGTAGCCACAGGGGACACCTACAACGGAAACAACGGGAGGAGTTGGATGATCAACACTGCATGCAAGAAGGCCCGTTGGGCCGTAAATGGGCTGCAAGTGGTGTTTGCTCTTTTACCAGCATAGTTTCCGATCATCGTCGCTGTAACGTCGGCGTTAGGCCCGATGACTGCGACGTGACGAAGGCGAGAGGGAGAGAGGGGAAGAGATCGACGATCGTTCTTCAGCAGTACGATTCCTTGACGCGCGGCTTCGAGGGCGAGGTTTTTATGGGCCGGGGTGCACACGTCTCGTGGGCCGAGGTTTCCGAAGGGCTGCTTTGAGGGCTCTCCGTCAAACATTCCGAGCCTCATCTGGACCGTGAGGGTGTTCGCAAGCGCATTGTCGACGTCGGCCTCGCTTATTTTACGTTGGTTTAGGGCCCCTTGGGTGTATTGGGCTAGGAAAGGCCCACAGTCCAAATCCAAACCTAAAGAGGACAAGAGGGAAAACAACGGCAAAGTTTTTAAGCAACAATTTCTTATTTTGCTTTCGAGATACCTTTTATTAGACATCAAGTTAATGTTTTCTACTGCATTAATGTCTCAAGGACCCAAATTGGGAACCCAAGGCATGAGATATGTGAGGTGTCACCATCCGATTGCATGGTGTACTATTCATGAATAGTACATCATGCAATCGGATGGTGACACATCACATGTCCCATGTCTTGGGTCCCCTATTTGGGTCCATGTAGCAACACCCCCGCTACAACAAAATTTCGGACCCGTCATTGTCTAGATAATACGAACCGTCGCTATTAAATTTACCTGCTTTAATTGCCCCTGCAGCTGCATCTTCCGGCGTTTTAGTGTAGTGTTGCGAGTTGAAGAAGACCCCGACGGAATCACAGTCGGAGACGATGTACCCGTCGAGGCCCCATTCGCCGCGAATCGTGTTGCGGAGGAGGTTAGGGTCGGCACAGGTCGGAACGCCGTTCACTTGGTTGTAGGAGCACATTATGCTGGCCACTTTCCCCTCCTGGACACAAGCCTTGAAGGGAACATTAAACGTATCCTCTAGATCCTGCTTGCTCACCTGAGATATAATTAAGCAAGAAATTAATTTTGTATAAACATCTGACGGTCGTCTAATTAATTTATAAGTGAAATTAGATAATTAGACATCATCCGTCAAAGTGAATAAATAAATAAATAAATAAATAAATAAGGAGCCAAGGGACATTTTTTTGTCTCAGGCTTTAAGAGTGGTTCAACTCTCACAGTGATTGCGCCAAAGACTTTGTTCTTTATCCAATGTCTACATGTCGAATTATACTGATCTCTGTCAGTCGCGATAGTTTAAAATTTGGTAATTTCGAGTGCTTTGCAGTAAACTTCCTATAAACTTCCTAAATCGCATTACGCCCCTAATAGCTATTGGAATTGTAGAAAATTAATTTCTAATAAGTTTCTAAATTCTGCAGATAACTTACTCTCATGACGATGATGTAAAGTCCACATCTTGTCTCTGCGACATATTTTAGATCCTAAATGGGGGTCATCTGCTAAATGCGAAAATTTGCTGGGGCGTTTTCTGCAATCCCAATAACGTAGGGGCTTTAGTGTGATTTTGGAAGTTTTTGGGGGTTCACTGCAAAAAATCTAAGTTCTTGGAAATTGAGTGTAGTTAACTTTTAAAAAAGCCACACGGTGACAAATAAACATATATAGTTCATGACATTTAAAAAAAAAAAATCCCAAACAGTTTCATTAATTTTAATCTTGTAAGATTATCTTTTCATGTATCATAAATATACACGATATGAAACCTTATAAAGAACAAACATACAATTTCAATAAAAATAGAGACATGCGTACCTTAGCATTGAAATGGAATCTATCAACACCCTGCCAGTTGTCAAGATCATAGGCGGTGTAATGCTTGCAACATGCAGCCAGCTTAAGCTTATGATACCCACTCTTCCCACCGTACGGTGGCCCCGCCCCCACCGTGGGTCCCTGAATATGTTCACGTTTGGGCTCCAGTAGGTCAGACCGCCTTGGCCCCCGTTGTACATCGCTCTTGCCTCGTCCGAGACCACCTGCGCATGTTATAGTGTCAGTGCTGGCGGTGCTAGAGTGAGCCTAGGTGATGGTACAAATTTTATCACGAACGAGCTGGAGTAAGGATTCTATCTGAATGCTCTGTACTATAGAAAGAGTAAAGTTTAGTTTGAGAATTACAGCTTCTCTAAAAGAGAACAATAAAAATTTTAAAACTGTAATTACCTCTTATTTTTTTGACCAACTAACTGTAATTTGTAAATTGCTAAGATAAACTTATAAATATTTTTTGTTCCGCTGGGGATATATGGGGCCCACGGCCCACCACCAGAGGAGCTAGGTGATTCTGTTTTCACGCGCTGTATCTGTTTTCTTGTAGGGAGTGCGAGATGGGGGGAAATCTTTAATAAATAGAACAGAAGTTAATAAATAAATAAATATGTTTGTTGTTTTTATAGTTGGAGACGATAGATTCGCACATTAATTTCTAGGCCTAGAATTGGGTCTGAGAGGGAACCTGGAAATTATTTTGCAGTAAACGTGGGGGAGTTTGGACTATTAGTCTATATAGTCTCATTAGGGCGGATCTATATACAGTTTAGGTGGGTCCACGCTCCTCCCCCTCCAAAATTTTGAGAAAAAAAAGATAGAGTGGTTTCTATAAAATCTCCTCCCTTAAAAATTAAATATATTCATTCTACATAATTTTTGTCTTCATCTTTTGAAATAGTTTGATGATATTGATGTTGACTATTCTACTCGTTTTGTTTGGGTTGTGGTGTATCTCTTATGAATAAAATTGTATTAAAAAATTTTCGTCTCCCCAGAACTGAAAATTCTAGATTCGACCCTACGTCTCATCATGCTCCCATCTGTCGTTAGAAGGTTCTTTAACTGATGAATAGTTGGTGACTACTCAAATGAAGAATGGACAAATCACCTAACTTATAAATGATGTGAAAGTGAGGTCCAAATCAATGATGCATGTCAATGATAAAATATAAAGATTATATTTCAACATCTAATTACCTCCGATAGCATACATTTTTATTAGCATCGGGTTGAAAAATTCGTCAAGAGATCCGATCTTCAGTGTTTGAGAAGTATTCTAATCAGATTTATAATGCCTTTTTTAAAAGACTTACAAAATAATTATTTTTATATTAACAAAAGATGCACGTGACATGTATATATCATTTCTTCCGATTACCCTTTTAATGAAGAAAATGGTAGATAAAGCGACAATAAACAATTCATACCTATTTTTTATGCATATATCACATAGCATCAATATTTATTTAAGTGTAGTAACTTGGTGTAAGTTAAAAAAAAGAAAATCATGAACTTTCATTGTTCTTTCAAAACATTAAAATATTTATTTTCACCTTGAATTTTTTTTAATTAAGCACTTATTTCTGCTCTGCAATAAATACGCAACTAGATTATTTTCTAAACCCTTTATTTCACTTTTATTAATTAATTTAAAATTTCAAACTTTATATATATATATATATCAACTGGCCGTCAATGACACCTTAACAAATCCAGCACGAACTTTTAGGGCCCTTATCCAATCCAATTGCAGCAAGTAATTGATGGGAACTTGGCACCAACTGAATTTACCAGAGTACCCCTCACATGGAATTTGCCCAGAGTCCGCACGTGATATAGAAATGTTATGCCCGTGATCTTGGCTAGAATCTCCCATAAATACCACGAGAGCTTGTCATCATGTGGGCTCAGCGGCTTAGGAGCCCAATTGATACTCTCACCCTCCTTTAACTAAACTACAGCTATTTGGTTGTATGTTTTTGGGTTCAATATGTTTTTGGTGGGTACTACTACTACTGCCCCTGAAAAAAGTTCTCAAGAATAATGTGATTACATTTGGTGTATAAGTTAATTTATTCACGGATTATGACATAATTTAATATTATATAAAAGAAGTAGTTGTGTTTGTGGAGTATACCAGATTGGTCCCTCTTCACATTTTTAGACGTATTTTTTATTTGTATGCCGTATAAGTGGTGCACATCTAATAACGTTTGAATCGACGAAAAGTTTAATGAATGTGATAGAATATTATATAAAAATCTTAATATTTTTTATTTATGAATATTATTTAAATGGAAATTTGAAATTAAACTTATCAAAAGTGATTCCCATCAAATCATAGGTAATTTTAAAAAAAAAAATCACATTTCTAATATAGATAAACTGTTAAAGCAAAAATATCATGGTTTATGAATTATGAAATTTATAAAAGAAAAATGCTATCACTTAGATTTTGCAACATATTTTGAATATTGCAATGATCTTCTTGCCTATTATGAATATTGTCACGATCCTTTTTGTCTATGGTAAATATTGCATTGATCTCCTTTATTAATACATGTAAGTAAACACTTAAATCACTTAAGTAGACAAACATTTAAAGTTCATGCAACTCATGAAGAAGTTAATTCGGCTTGAATCTTTAGTACATTATCTTTCAAAACTAACTTCTATAAAAGTTTCATCACGTCAATGAAAAAAGAAAAAAGAAAAAGAAACAATTAGAGTGAATATATCAAGTGGACCCCACTACAAAACGTCTCGGACCATGCATTGGCCAAGAGATTCGGGTGTGGTGGTATTCCGATCACGACAGACCCGGACCCGCTAACTCAACTGTCACCGTTGTCCGGTAACCGCCGGTGACCATAAAACTCTAGAAACAGAAAGAAAAAAAAAAAAAAAAAAAAGCGCAAACTTACTCTTCCAATGTGCTCCCATAACGTAGCATTAAACGAAGCCGCAGTAGTGATCACTTGAGGAAAACTAGTTGCACCCGGAAACTGACCCCCGAATTTAACTCCGGGACCCGTGTTCGAAACACCGTGCAATGCCTCCGACCACCATTCATACCCGTTAATGCCGAGCCTAGGCACGCCGGCTGCATTATTGACCAACAATCTTATTTTCTCATTAGTATGTAAACGACCAATAAGATCTCTAACGCGCACTTTTATCGGTAGGTTGACCCTACAGAACGGAAGACCGCTCGTGGGGCCTACGCAGGCGAATGCGGGTCTAGCATTCGCCTGCATGAGGAAGTGGATCTGAAGTGTAGCGAGGAGGAGGAGGAGGAGAGAGGGTCTGGCCATGTTGTAAGTGGGTGGGTATGGATTTTGGGTGGGGGTGTATTTATAGGGAAATGGAGGGTTGAGATTTGTTGATTGGATTGCCACGTAGGAAATTCGATATTATTTGGTCATTGGTCTATTTTTGGTTGAATTGCTTGCAACGGAGGGAGTGGACAAGTGGGCGGAGAAAGTAGGGGAAAGGGGATTCTATGTCACGGGCCGGAAAATTCTTTCTTGTTTTGAGATAATTGCTTTTTGAGCTAGCTTTTATATATTCATTGCAAATTATAACTATAATATTGTATAATTAATTTGCATGTTTTGGGTGGCTTGATCTATCAATATAATTGTGATGTCGCGCCTTTATTTGTTATTGACACATTTCACTTTCAGTCTTTTCGTTTAAATAATTCATGGGCAAATTTATATGGTCCCCTTTGTATATTTTGATACACTAATTATATTCCTGGGTTCGGAGTAAATTGTATAATTGATGGAATGTGGTCGGTCAATGTGCATGAGAGAAGATTAATTGTCATTTCCTCGTGCATTGATCATATTAATTTCGTCATTTTCCTTTTAAAAAACACGAGAATATGAGAAGTAAAAGTCGAGGAATGGTAGTAGTTGGCCTAATTAAGAATAAACTTAGAATTAATTAGCTTAAAAAATGGTAACAAAGCAAACCACAGTGATCACGCTATGTTTTTAGCAAAGGAAGCCAGGATTAATCACTCGCAATAAAAAGCTTATGGGACATAATTAATGAGTTTTTTTTTAATCTTCTCCAATATTGAAACAAGAGAAAAAAATAAACATCATGTAAAAAATTAATTAATACGACAGCTAAACTCAAGATTAGCAATATTACCATCATTTTCTACACGATCAAATTTGACATATATACATGCATGGTTTAGAGCTTGGAGTAATCACCTCCTCATGTCTTCATAACCATATATCATAATTATGGCCACACCAACCAAAACTTATATAGCTAGCTTTGATTTGTAAACATGCATGACAGGATTAATTAATCAATTATGTGCAAAATTTAATTAGTAGTTATGAGTGAGACCCTGAACATGTGAAGTAGAGATATGAAAGGGCTATTAATTTGCGTTGGTTCTTATGTCATGAGGACTATACATCTAACCTAATATCCTTTATGGTTGTCCTCGCAATTATTGGCATCGTTATAAAATATTTTTATACTGGCTAGCTGGTTCTCATATTAATTATGAGAAAAAAAAAATTTCTACATGTATAATTAATGTTGAAAGCCTGTCAATAAGCAAAGCTTCATGTAATTGACATATATATTAATTACGAATTATCTTTTCAAAATATTTCTTCCGTATATTATACCAAAACCTTCAAGTTAGAGGGGTATATTATTAATATTTCTAAAACATATGGTTATGATTTCATAAAGCTTTTAACTGAGAGTAAACATGATTCACAAGCCATAAACTTCAGTTAGATGGTTCAATAAGCTAAGCCATATGCATATTTATATAAAATCGAACCATTTATTATAGAAAATTAAAGGTGGTAGTGGAGTAGGAGAGCTCTCAATCATTGTGTGACAGTATCCTCGGATATCTTGGAACAAATAATTAGAATTTAGAGTTTCCAAGAAGCTAGAGCAAATGGATAACGTGTCTTTTTCACCATTAACAGACCGACCTCTCTCTCTCTCTCCATCTTATTAATTAAAATTAAAATTGTAAAATGCGTTGTATGTGAACTCCATAATACAACTTGGATTATAAAAACCGGCCATATATAGGATCAAAAATCAAAGTAAGCTTGCACTGCAATTTCGAGTAGTGTTTTCATGTTCAAGACAAGTCCGAGTGCAATAAGGTTGCACCTTCTAATTTTATAAGTTATCTATATAAGTTTATGGTGTTGCCTTTTATGGCATGCATGGGATGAACTTTTGGCCTGAGTTCATAGAAAAATGTAATTAAAAAAAAAAGTTGGAATATGGGATTTTAATTAAGTGGTCTAATTAATTAAAGGAGTTTGAATAAAAGAGTGCAAGGGAAGGGAAGGGACCACAATATCCCATGATAGTTAGAATTTGTTTGGCGGAGGGGTTTGGTCCTTACTCTAACCACCCTTAAAGGTAAAGGATAACTTAGTCCCCACAACTCCAAAGCTAAAAAAAAAAAATATGCCCATGTCAACCAACTTTTGTTCTTCTAGAGCACATGATCGATCTTTATTGATTTTTTTAAAAAAAAAATCATATAGTTCGATAAAGTTTTTGAAATTTGAATGGAGAAAGTGTCCACTACCTCAAAGGCATATTGTGAGATAGAAGTAGTATATAAAGATTGAACAAATACGAGAAGTAATTTTGAATTTAGGGATTTAAAAGAAAATAAGAGAGATTTTCTGTAAACTCACACAGACGAGGTTATTGAGTATATAATCGAGGTAGATATAGAAAGGAGACTTTAATGTGGAAGAGAAACCTGAGAATATTATGTTTATTAGATATGGATACAATTATGTAGACAGTCAACATATATATAGAAAAAACTTCCTTCGTACTTAGAAATATATTAAGCAGAAAAATGATCATATTATCATTCAAAATTAAACAAATAAAGCAGAGGGAAAAAATGTTAAATAGTTTTTTTTTGGGTTAAAAATGCTAATTATGTTAAAAGATAGTTACATAAATACCGAGATGCATGTTGGTCACCCATAAATATAATTTATTAGGAGAATCCATATGGTCCAATATTTTCAACTTGGATCCTCCCTCCCTTCCTAATCATTCATAATGTCTCAGGTGGAGAACAGAAAATTTTAACCCTTTATTTTTTTCCCCCAACTATATATACCTGTTATATTTGTCAATATATCTTTCTATCTTAGCCTTATGAATGATTACAATGCAGATATGACCATATTCTATTCTTGTAGCATGCATGCAGGTGAAAGGCTCCTAGGAAAAATTTTCAGTACTACGTAAAATGTTCGATTTATTGCATGTTTTCTCCCATTATGGAGCTATTTCGAATGCTAACCGCTATTATTACTTCACTGTTCCTTCGTTTTGAGTAGGGTAGTTGCTTTCTGTGACTATAATTAATGCAAACTTTTGATTATTCGATGAAAGGTCTTAATTGCTACCAGCTACAAATAATAGCACTTGCTCAGTTTCTCCAATTTGATTAGGACATCAATATCATATCTTCAGATCACCAATAGTGTACATAGCTGTAGAATAGTAAGTGATAGGTTTGCATACAATAATGCTTTAAATTAAATTATCTCCTAGTTGATTGGATGGAGATTGGGGATTTATCAAGAGGTTCTCTAGTTTAATTTATCTTGTTTTAATTTGCATGCACATTAAAAGTAGTAGAGATGCACATGGAGATGAGATAGAAACCCAGCCTGCCTTGATTTTGATGTAAAATCTTGACAAATGTATTTTCTTTGTTTTTTTTTTTTTTGGTTGTAATTTTTGTGCAAGTTGTAGGTTCACATGGCTTAGGATTCCAATCCCTTTAGATTTAAGACATGAAACCTTAACTAAGTTAGATCCAAGGAAAGGCTAGCTCAACTCCCAAATAATGATAGCACCCTTGATTTGCTTCTCAAGAATTTCTTTACCTTCTATTTAATAAGAATATAAATGCAAAGGGAAAAAGTACAAAAGCTATAGACTTTGTCAAACATTAGATATATGTTTAATCTCAACGCCACTGGCAAGCATTAATTCAGCTGAGTTGTTCTACGATCAATCATCCAAGTAATACACAGAAGCAAGGCACCCAACTCCTTATTAATTATTAGAGAAAATATACATAAACTTGAGATAATAGGAAAAAAAAAACTCCTACACTCCTGGTTATCCCTAATGAAAACTCCGTGTATGGTTGGTAATTTCAATTCAATAGCCCCAATAAAAATATTGGATTGTATGGTGTACAAATAAACATGATTGTAGAACCGTAGCCATCTCTTCTTTGAATGCTCAATGTCTACTTATATCTGGAATAGCATAATGGAGTGGCTAAAATTCAAATGGAGAAGCTGTGAGTGGTCCTCCCTCATGAATTGGTATAGTTTCAGATTGAGGGGTAATGGTTTAAAACAAAAAATCAAGAGGATGGCATTAGCGGCTACTGTCTACAATATTTGGAGAGAAAGAAATTGCAGAATTTTCAAGCTGGAAAATAGAATTGCTGATTGTTTGATCAAGAACATTAAGGTGGACATCCTAACAGCTATTTTAAACAAGTCCCTGTCGGATGAATGCAGGAGTTGGGTTCTCTCATTGTAGAGCTCACTGCAATCTTCATGCTGCCAGTTACAGATATGAAAGAGGTGCTGCTCATGGTGAGGAGGCAAAAGTTTTTAGACTGCTTCAGTCTGATTGAATATCAATATACTTCATACACAGGATATACTGTAGTTTTTAGCTTATACAGTACTGTTGAATACATGTATATCTCTTGATTGTTGAGTTTTTCTATTAGAGCTGCAAGAGCGTATCTCACCTTTTGGCAGTGAGATTCTTGATGTATATACTTTCCACATTTTGGGAATGAATAAAAATTTTCATTTACCAAAAAAAAATAAAAAAATAGACATGATTGTTAGATGAAGAGAGGATGTAATGGGGTTCAATCAATCTGTTCAATTTATCACGATGATCCAAATTCTTGTAGATATTTGATATTTTTCAAATTAAAAACCCATTTTTAGAGGACATCTACTATGTACGCAGTCTACGTATGAACTAAAGCACACATCATTACAAGATGAAGAGAGGAATGAGGGCCTAGTTCAAATTGGACCATCACCATAAGAAATAAAAAATTGCACTTCCCTACATTATCTTTTAGCCCTAGGCCCCTAGCACAACAAAATGGATGAAGACGAAGTATATACCACGCCAATACAGCATTCATGTTAATTAGTGATCTTCTCGTTCTTGATGCCCTACATCTACACGCAATTTGCTTTTTGTGTGGGTCTCTTTCATTAATAATCAAGGCATACATCTTCAATACTAAGGGATAACTGGATAAGACCTTACGTTTGCATGCTCTGTATAACAATAACATCATCATCATCTACATTTGTGGAGATAGGTGTGACACACCTTTGCCATCTAAGCACTTAAAAGTACGTCCTTATCCCTCGTGGTTCCAATCATTCAGGACTCATTGCACACTATACTCCATGAGAGAACTTTGGTTAAACAAGGCACCAACTAATCATGCATCATTCGGACACGAGCATGTAGATAACAAGATATATGGTTAGGGAGTGTTCTATTAATCTTCGAAAACCACAAATTTCCAAGCAGATCCTGGTCTGACGACTAGCTAATTAAGTTTTACGCTGGTTATCAACGACCTAACAGAACTCTTTCTTTTATCCTAGCTTGAGACAAACATTAGAACATATTCTCACATACATATCATGTATAATATGAACCAAATTTGATAGTTAATAAGGATATATCATGCGTTAATATTTATACGTCTTCATTTACGTTTCATTCGGATTTTACCAAGTTGGAGTCATGCATGATACGATAAGACCCATGTTTTTCTACGACAAGTTTCCACAGGATGCAACTCTATTCAAACTCTATCTAGTCAAATTAATTAATTAATCAAAGTCAAACTCATGTTCCATGAAACCTTTAGCGTGGAAGTTTTGCCCTGCTAGAGTTTGTATGACGTGTCCCGTGGACTACGTGTACTGGCCTCGTCTAAATCTAGTTAGCTACAATCTTGTAAGGATATTCATGAAACCTTTAGCGTGGAAGTTTTGCCCATGCTTAATTTCCTTTGTCTCTAGACAATTATAATTATAATTATAACAACTACGAAGCCATATCTAAACTCGTAAAGGATTGATGTCAAGCTGTCAACCAATCGTTAGTTTGCTTGATGACCAACTAGGGTTTGATAATTATATACTTTTAACTTAAGTGATAACGATAGTGATAAGGATAGGTGGAATATTGTATTTAGGTGCTTAATTATTTGAGAAAATGTGCATGAGAGGGGGGACTTAATCCGAAGGATGCAAACTAAAAGACGTTTCTTGTGAATCTGGCGAAGTTCGAAAAAGCTCGCAGGTAGTTATATGAGGGTTGTTGTGATGAAAGTTTGAAAGGCTCAACGGTTCAATGAAGCAATGTATGAGTTGAGCTACTTAATTCGGTTTTGAAAAGGAAAATTTTGAAGTCTTTTTCTTGAGAATTTCTAATTAGTTGGTGAATTAGTTCTTCAGTTAGTTTAAACCAACAACTTTTGTCGTTATTGTGTCGGATTTTTTTTTTTTTTTTTTAATCTTTAAGATTGAGTAACTTTGTGGACAAGGCATGACTCCTCGAAATGCCCCTGCCAATATACAGCAAGTGAGTATGTATAAATGAAATAGCTACAAGAATGCATTTAATTCCACAGAAAAACTTATTTCCTGCTAAATCTCGAGAAACTTTTCCCGTGAAACCCTGGAAACTCTAAAAAGACTAAGATAACCTCCAAAACTTTCAACTTTTTTTTTTTTTTTTGCCAAAACCGCCTAAAAAGCGTCTTTCGCAATAGGAAGCTCCCATTATCTACCCAATTTTGTCATTTCCATGTTTTATTTGTGCTCATCTTCCCCTTGCTCGTTGGGGGCTCTGTACGAGAAGTTGGAAGTTCTGAGGGTTTCTTGAAAAAGTGTAGAGATTTGGGGGTTTTGTGGGAAAATTAAAGTTCAGAGGTGTTCATAGGAAAACGGCCTAAAAGTTTGGGCAGTGTGTGAAAAAATTTCGAACTAAAAATAAACTAGCAAAACATGTCAAGCTTCTACCTTCAAATATTTCCCCTTTCTCCATCCCTCAACTCAATTGAACGTCATGCTATGCATTTGGAGAACTCCAATAAATAGTCAAATTTTCAAGAAGTCAATGATCCAAGAAAATGAAAGTTCAACCAGAAAATGGAAGTCTAGAAATTAGAATCGCGATAACAAGAACATAACGGGTCCGGGACGATCCAAACATTATATTACCAACAATTATATTTATGTCGAGTTTGAACATAAACAAAAAGGCTCGGAATCCTCTGCACCCTTTGATTGTCATAAACTCCCACAAACATGAGATGGACCGATTTCGTA